TAGCATCATAAAAATATGTAAAACTATAAAGTACACTAGTAGATATGATACACAAAAAGGAGAGAACCAAAAATTATTAGTACATAAAACCACCAATCCACAAAGATGAACAAAAGAGGAAGAAAGAAACAAAACATATACAAAATGAAAAATATTAAATTAACGAGAATGTCTATTTACCAATAATAATCTTGAATATAAATACATTAAATTCTCTGATTAAAAGATATTGACTTGCTGAATAGATTTTTTAAAAAAGCAACACCTAATTGTATGCTGCCTATAAGACACACTTTACCAGTAAAGATACACATTACCTGAAAATGAAGGGATGGAAAAAGATAACACTAAGCAAATGGAAATCAAAAATGACCAGGAGTAACTACACTTATGAGATAAAATAGGCTTTAAGTCAAAACTGTAAAAAGAGATGAAGAAATTCATTGTATAATGACAAAGGAATTGATTCAGTATGAAGAAATAACAATAATAAATACATATGCATCCATACTAGCACACACAATTATACACACCAAAAACATTATTAAATCTAAAAGGAGAGTTATTAATTGAGGACTTCAACAGTCTGCTTTTATCAAAGGACAGATCATCCAGACAAAAAAATAAAATAAACAAGGAAACACAGTATTTAAGCTACAAAACAGAGCAAGTGGACCAAACAAACACACATTGTATCCAACAGCTGCAGAATACATATCCTTCTTATCAGGACTTGGGGCATTCTCTTGGACAGACCATATGTTAAGCCACCAAATATGTCTCAACAAACTCAAAACATTTTAAAACCATAGTATACATCTTCTTTCATCACAATACAATGAAACTAAAAATCAACAAGAAAAACTTTAGAAATTAAATACAGTACATGCATGAGCATAAAGCAAACTTCTCTTGAATGATTAATAGTCAATGAAAAAAATAAAAAATGAAATTAAGAAATTTCTTGAAATAGCTGAAAATGATCGCACAGCATTCCAAAATCTGTGGGATACAGCAAAAGTACCAAGAGGAAAGTTTATAGCAATAAGTGCTTGCATCAAGAACAAAGAAAGATGTCAAATAAACAACAATGCAACTCAAAGAACTAACCAAATCAAAATTGACAAAAGAACAAACTAAACACAAACTTAGTAGAAGTGTCATGTCTGGAAGATGAGGACATTGCAGAGCACCATATCCCAAACTTTCAGTTCCAGGAAGTCCAAGTATAGCTACACCACCCTCGGTTGCAGGAAGTCTCAGTACTTCTGCACCACTGCCAGTTCTGAGGAGCATGGCCACACTATCTCCACCCCACAAATTCCACAAGACAGCAACTCCTTCCTGGACTAACCTCCAGTGAGCACTTCCCCTTTAAAGCCTTTGTTCTCCCCTTGCTGAGGGCTGACTCTCTTTTAGGACTGAGCCCATTCACACTGGAGTGAAATAAGCACCCTCATTGTTCACACAAAGCCTACCTAGGTGGTCTCTCTGCCCTTTGCATCTGGTGCTGAAACCCAGGATAGGGTGATCCTCCCTGGAGTGCTTTCAAGCCCCATCCCGAGTTTTTTATCCTGATGAGGCAACCCTATCACATTAACTCCTTAGACTGAACTCCAGACAGTACTCACTAGCTGCCTCAGATCAGGTAACACTTTTCCTTCTATCCCCTCACCCACCAAGACAGAGGGGCTCATTCTGCTTTCTGGGTGTCTTAAATCCAGCTGTAGTCATGGAAATTCTCTGGGAAGACAGTCTTCCTTTGGTTTCTGGCCAACCACAGGGACACCTGCCTTGGTCACCCACCCATGTTATGTTATAGCCCTGAGACCCAACTGGAGACAGCCTCTGTGGACCCTTGTTGCCACTCTCATTACCTCTCTCTGCTCTCCACGGAAACCTCTCTCCCTCTATTCCCCTCTCCTCCCCCTTAGCCTGTATCTTAAAAAGCCTAAAACCTCTCTCTCTCTCCCCTGATCTCTCCCAGGTCAGCCAGCATCTGGGCTCCTCATCAGACCCCACCCAATATTTCCAAGAGTTCTAATACCTTACCCTATCATATAGCCTCACCTAGACTGATTTAAATGGCATCATTGATTCCATTCTTTCCCCAGACGAATGGGAGCAAGTATTCTCCCTGGCCCAGTCCTATGGGGATGACTGGAAGCACCTTCAGCCTGACCTTTTGAGAGGACCCACTTTGGAACTATCAGGCAGGATCCTAGAACATTGCCAATCAAGATCCCATGATTTTCTACCTCATAGAAGGATTTCTCAAGGTAGTCCATAAAGTGGTTAATTTTGATAAACTCAAGGAGACTACTCAGACTAGAGATGAAAATCTGGCCCAGTTTATGGACCACCTGGCTGCTGCCCTTATGTGATTAACAACACTAGACCCAGAAATGCCAGAAGAGCAACTTATTCTTAAGAGGTATTTCATCACCCAATTAGCCCCAGACATTCATAAAGAATTACAAAGACTGGAGACTGGCCCTCAAACCCCACAACTGGAGCTAATTAGTCTGGCCTTTACAGTCTTCAACAACAGAGATGAAAGTGCTTGAATGTAGTGCATTTTTAAGCTGCAGATGCTGGCCTCTGCCCTAAGAAGCCCCTCCAAGGTCAACTACTGGGTTTACCACAAAGGGATCAAAGTCATCTCTAACCAGAAGCACCCCTCCAGGGCCATGCTTCAAATGACAGTAGAATGGGCACTAGGCTAAGAAATGTCTGCAGCCTGGGATTCCTCCCAAGCTGCGTCCTTCCTCTGGAGGTACTCACTAGAAGTCATACTGCTTAATGCCGGCAGCTTCCTCTGGGTCATGACCTGAAGGACTTCCAACTGGCTCCTTCTCAGACCTTCTTGGCTGGCCCACCAAAGACTGAAGCTGCCCAAAGTCCTCAGAGGCCCCCTGGACCATCTTGGATGCAGAACTTTCAGTAATTGTTATGGTGTTATGGAATTTACAAGACCCTTCCTAGTCATCTGCAGTACCCCAGTAGCTGTCCATCTATGAGACTTTCCCCAGTGGGTACATGGCTTCCAAGTAAAGCTGTATCCTGATGATAACTCATCTGGCCCTTCCTCACAGAAATCACATGTAATCTCACCTACTTCTCTCAGGCTGCTCCAAATTCCAGAAGACACTTTAATGCCTTGCCCCTACCCCTCCTGCTGATTCACCCAGTTCCCTAATCTTTCTTGGTTTCAGGGCTCTAGAGGATCCTAGGCACTCTGTGTTTCTACTATTTACTCTCCTGTGGATTTGTGGATCTTACTTATAATCTTGTTACAGCTTCAAATCAACTGTCTTTTGCCTGAAGGATGGAATCATTTCTCATGCCCATGCTCACCCTTGCCCTAAGTAGATTCCCCTTCTCCTCCTCCTCTCTGTGCTCTTTTGTCTGGCCAGCCCTCCTATTCTTTCTGTTCTTTTTTCTTTTTTTGGTACCAGGCATTGAACACAGGACCCTGTGTTGCCAGGCAGGCACTTGCCACTGAGCTAAATCCTCTGCCTGCTCCTGTTCCTTTTGTTATGCCCCACAGTTGCATCCCCACAACTTCTCACAGTAGTCCCTAATACTCTCTTCAGGACCCTACAGTTAACTCATTCCCTGTTCAACCAGTTAATCTTTCCCTAGCCAGAAATTACTGGCTCCGTATCTCCCCAGGAGAAGAATGTTGCTTTTATACTAACCAGTCAGGTATAGTTCGAGATGCAGCAAAAAGGGTAACTGAAAAGCCTTCAGAAATTAGGCAATGCCTGCCTGACTCTTGGACCAATATTTGGGGCTGGGCTTCATGACTCCTTCCATTAACTGGCCTCTTGTCTCTGTTCTCCTCTTCCTCATTTTTGGGCCACCTCTTTTCAGGTCTTTTTTCACAGTTCCTACAAAATTGAGTTCAGGCTATCACTAATCAGTCAATGCGACAAATGTTGGTTCTGATCACCCCTCTTTACTCATCCTCCAAGAACTCTCTCCTGATTAAGGTACCCATGCTGCCCACATGTCCTGCATTAAGAAGCTATGAGAAACAGCACCCACCTCCCCAACTCTCTCTTTCTTTATAACAACAAAGACACAGGAATGTCACACACATGGCAGCAGAGCACCATGTTCCAATCCCTCAGTTCCAGGAAGTCTGCATACGTCTGTACTTCCACCCATTCTGAGGAACATGGCCACACTATCTCCACACCCTAAATTCCTCAAAACAGCGACTCCTCTCCAGACCAAGCCCTGGCAACAACCTCCCCTTTAAAGCCTCTGCTCTCCCTTTGCTGAGAGCTGACTCTCTTTTCAGACTCAGTTTGCTGACACCTGAGTGAGATAAACAGCTTTGTTACTCCAATAGAGCCTGTGTGGGTGGTCTCACTGCTCCACACCTTCAATACAAGAAGAAAATTACACAGCAATGAAGATTAGAGTAGAAATAAATAAGGAAACAAAAGATTAATAAAATGAGTTGGTTTTTTGTAAAGATATACAAAATTGATAAACCTTTGAGTTAATCAAGAAAAAATGTTGAATAGTCACATAAATATATCAAAAAGGAAAAAGGAAACATTGCAACTGATACTACAGGGATATAAAGCATCATTAGAGACTATTATGAGCAATTGTTTATATGGCAACACATTAGAAAACTAGAAGAAATGGATAAAAATCTGGACACATACACCCTACCAAAATTGAGCCATGAAGAGAAAGAAAAACCTGAGTAGATCAATAACAAGTAACGAGATTGAATCAGTAATAAGTCCCCTATCAAAAAAGAATAAATGTTGGAGAGGATGTGGAAAAGGGGGACCCTTCTACACTGCTGGTGGAAATGTAAATAGCATAGCCATTATGGAAGACAGTATAAAAATAAGCTCCTTAAAATACTAGAAATACAAACGTCTGACATATGATCCAGCAATTCTACTTATGGGTATATATCCACAGAAAATGAAGCCAGTAAATAAGAGAAACATCTTTACTCATATCTTTATTATAGCACCGCTTATCATATTCGGGATATGGAGTCAACCCAGATGTCCATATTCTGGAGAAAGAAACTGTGGTATAGACACACAATGGAATATTATTTAGACATGAGAATGAGGGAAATTTTGTCATTTGCAATGACATAGAACTCGAGAATGTTAAGTGAGATAAATATGGCACAGAAAGACAAACACTGCATGTTCTCACTTACATGTGGAAGCTAAAACATTGATCTCAGGAAGTAAGGAATAGAATAGTGGTTATCAGAGCATGGGAAGGATGTTGAGTGGAGGGTTGGAAAGAGGAAGGTTAATGGGTACAGGAGTATAATTGAATAGAAAGAATAACATAATGTTGGATAACAATGGTTGACAACAATTAGTTGACAACAGCTAGTAGAGAGGATTTTAAATGTTCTTAACACAAAGAAATGAGAAATATCTAAGGTCATAAATATGCCAACAACCCTGACCTTATCATTGCAAAGGGCAAACATGTGTTGAAATGTCTCACCATTCTCCATAAATGTGTGCGATTAGTATGTGTCAAGTAAAAAATAAAAAGACATTTAAAAAACAAATACAAGTCACGAGCATATTAACCAATCTATTTACAAGAAAGTGATTTCCAGTCCATAAAGTGGATTATGTATCCAGGGTTCCAGTCTATCGTCAAAGCCATCCTGAGAACAGGTTCATGGTGACACTGGGATTCAAACCCAGGGCTTCTTTCCTCCATAATTTCATGCCCCAGTTACTTCTTCAATATTTTGCCTGCTGTTAGTACCCATCTCAGGGGTCTTTGTCTTCATGCACAACAAACCAATCTGCAGGATTCCTTTTACAAAGCAAAAATAAAGCACAATGCAAATGGTAGACTTTCATTTTTAAAACCAGGTGTATGTTGCCATTACTCTGCCAAATAGTCAACTTCTTTTCATTTTCCCTTTTGAAGCTTGATTTTCACTCCAAGTGGAAGAGCCAAAGGGTTGGAATTCAGCAAGGAGATGCTTTTGGATGCCCCTAAGACTAAGGGTGTGCTGTGAGCAGGAAGGAGCCCCAAGGATGCAGACTGCATGAAGCCAGGCCAGCAGAACGGGTCCCCTCTGCTGCTGATTGCCACCAGCCCAGGTTGGCAGAAAATGCTTATCAGGGAGAATGTTCCCGGTCTGATCATAACTGATGCAGTGTGCTGTGTCGAATCACTTCCTGTTCCCTGATTGCGGATAAGAAAAATATGATTTAATCAGAGCATTTGCAACAGTTCAGAGCCCATGTGGTCCAAAACAGGTGCAGCCCCCTCCTCTGCGCCTCCTGCTCAGCCTGGATGACACCCACCCTGGGCTCGGGGCTGGTCTTGGCTCTCCATCACCATAGAGAAAGCTACATACTGGTTTGGGGAGAAATTAAGAATGACTCCACGGAATTTCAGAGTGAGCTTGTCAAATCAGGAGTTTCTAATAGATGTTGGAATAGATTTCTGACGCATGAAAAGGCTCTGTATTGAACTCTAATTTCTAAGAAACATCTTTCCAACCCCCATGGGTGACCCCAAAATGTCCCTGGGACCTCTTTACATTCATCGTCTGTCCACATACCTTCTCTCTACACACTCCTCGCTAACCTGCCACTCACACCATTTGGTGCATAAACAAAATGAGATTCAAGGAGTAACTTGCAAAGTTATTTAACTAGAAGTCTCTGGGCCAGCCCAGCAACCCCCAGCAAACTGTCCTGCATGCTGGCTGCCCCCAAACCCTACAGAGCCCTCCAACCCTCCTGCTGGGTCACAGGGGGGCTTTGAGAGGAGGTAGCATTAAGAAAATAACCCTTAACTGGGGAGACTTTGCTGAGAAATTCAAGTGCCTTTCCAAATACTGCACACATTCACAGAGACCTTTGTGGGTCAGGCATTGTTATCACTGCTAAAGACGCACAGATTTTATAGGGCTGAACAGCCCAGCCTGGCCAACTCAGCGACTCCATGAGACTCCGTCTGAAACAAAATGTAAAATAGGCTGGAGATGAGCTGTAGCTCAAGGGCCTGGTTTCAACCCCTAGTAAGCAAAAATATAAAATGTGAAATGAGAACCCGAACCATCTCTGCCCTTATGCATCCAACATTTAAGTGAACAGAGCTAAACATAAACAAGTAGCTAAGCTAGGCAGGGTGGAAGTCAGCTCACTGCCTTGGACAGGTGTTGCCAGACAGGTGGCACCCAGGTAGAAAGGGAGCTGTGGAGATGCTGGGGGAAACATCTCAGGGAGAAGAAAAGAGCTTTTGCAGGGCTCCCACAGTGGAGGTCACAAAGCAGGGACAGGGAAGCCAGGATGGCTGGGCAGACCAGGGAGAGAGTTGCAGGTGACAGCCGACTCTCAGGACACTGGACACCACGTGAGGATCTCAGGCAAATACCTGAGTGGGGTGGTGTGCTGAAAGACTTTGAGCACCTAAAAAACTAGATTATCTCTGTAAGATAACAGATGGAATAAAAAGGACCATTATGATTTCATAGAAAGCACAATATGTAATGAATACATGTGTTATGCAGGCTACCTCAATGACACAGAACTAAAACTAATAATAAATCCAATTTTGGAAAGTAACTCTTAAGTTAAAGAAATCAAGCAAAACTACCACTACAAGCTACTTAGACATTCACAAGAAAATTACATATCAGAATTTATGGAATGCAACAAAAGCCATAATCAGAAGAAATTCGGAGCCTAATGTCTTTACTAGTATTAAAAATAAAAATTAAAGAAGTGCTATTCAAATCAACAAAGCATAATGTTTTTTTATCCTAAAATGGACCAAAATTATTTTAATAGTAATTAAGTTGGGAATGGTGTAAAGGAACCATTAGTGTATATCACACTAACGGAAGGGAAGAGAAATTTGTCAGTAAATATTCAAAGTCTTTAAACTATGAGTTTCCTTTTCAATCCAGCCATTTTTTTTACAATTTAACAAAAATTAAAATAGGAAAGGATTCCATCTGCAAGAATTTCCATCACAACATTGTTTACAGTAGAAAACAATTGGAAATGTATTAAATAAAGGCCATAGGAGATAATGTATGATGTGGTACATCAATGTGAAGGCAAAATATTTCATTATAAAGAGTTTAGGAGAAAACACAGAGCACTCTGCATGGGACATAGTGAGCCATGGGTTCTTCACTGAAAAGATTCAGAAAAAAAAAAGTTGTATCTGTAGCTAATATGTACAATTTTTTCTTGTTGTTCTCTAATACATACATAGCATTTACACTGTGTTAGGTATTCCAGGATGATTTAAGGTGTACAGAAGGATGTATACAAGTTATATGGAAATACTATACTACTTTATGTAAAGGACTTGAGCATATGAGGGTTTTGTTTCCTGGGAGTTCCTAGATTCATCCCCTGTAGATATCGAGGGACAACTATAGATGTATCTCCGATTCATAGATGACGGGACAGGTTAAAGAGAACAGACTGGATGACAACCTCCAATAATAAACAAACCAAAGCTCACACAAACACTTATTGTGACCATAGAGTAATTACCATGAGTTTATGTCCTCCAAACCCCTATTTCTGTAGAACAGAAGACTTTTTAGTCTTATTTTTGGGTTCTTTCTTGTTTCCTGCTTTTCTTCAGTACATCTGAGTAATCTGCAGTGCCACTGGTGAATGCTGCTGTTAAACACAAGTAGAACAGCCACCACTAATGTGATGGTAACAGGTGAATCTGCCCTGCTGCCATGGTCCACTTTCAGATCTGCCTTTGCAGGAGTCATCAGGAAACACCCAAGAGGACTACAGGGTCTGGGAACACCCTTGGTCCAGTGCTTATTCTTCATGAGCAAAGTGATTCTCAGAGAAGGCAAATGACCAAAACAGAGCCACTCAGAGCACGGGTGCGCAACACCTGGACCACAGACCACTAAAAGTTCATGGTCTGTTAGGACCTGGGCCACACAGGAGGAAGTGAGTGGGGTGAGGGAGTGCAGCTTTGTCTGTATTTCCAGCTGCTCCCCATCACATCTATTCCCCCTGAGCTCTGTTTCCTATCAGACCAGAAGTGGTATCAGATTTCTGCCATAAAGGAGGATAAATTTCAATCACTTGTAAGAAAATAGATACACCTTGAGACAATGATGCTAAATGAAATAAATCAGACACACAAGCTTAAATATCACATGGTTTCTCTTCTATGAGAAACCCAAAGTAGAAATAAATTAAAAATCAAAGTAAAAGTTGGATAATAGGAAGTAGAGAGTTAACTCTTTTGAAAATAGGAAGGAGACCAAGAGATGGAAGGAAGAGAAAGGAAGGGATGACAGAAGTAAGATGTGTTATGTACGGGCCAGGGATGTAGCTCAGTGGTTCCGGCACCTGCCTTGCAAGCGCAAGGTCCTGAGTTCGATCCCTGGCACCAAAAACAAAAAAACAAACAAGATGTGTTATGTGCATGCACCAAATCCCAAAGTGAATGTAATCATGTGTACTGCAAACATGGACTAATAAAAGTTTTTTTTTTAAGATTTTTATAGGAGCCCAAATCCTTATGAGAAGCTAATGCCTGATACTCTGAGGCAGAGCTGAGGCTGTGATGCTAGTGCTGGGGAATGCAATTATGCTTCACAAACATACCAATAAAAAAAAAGAAACTATACCTGCCCCCAATCCATAGAAAAACTGTCTTCCAGGAAACCAGTCCCTGGTGCCAAAAATGTTGGGTACTGCTGACTTAGAGTGTCCAGAAGGGGACTAGGGCTGGACTCTCACCTCTTGATTCAATCCAGTGCTTCACAAGGCCCCTGAGATAGAGGACATGTATTCACTGAAATTAAAGAATAGAAGGGAAAAAATGGGTAATGCTGCCCAGATGAAAACATTTCTAGTGCACTCTGCCATCATTGGCATGGGAAGTGGTGGGTGGGCTCCTTAAATGGCTTCCAAATGGATGTGGATTATGAAGGCAGAACTAAGAGGTGGTGCCTTCCACTGCTCCTGATGAGCACAGGTGTTTTGAGCATGGTCACACCTCATAAAGCATAGCTGCAATTTCCATGCTGCAGCTCACAGAGGAACAGACTATTGAGGCGATGACTTCAAATTTATTGTTAAGTCTGACTGGGTAGAAGAGGGTAATTTATCCTCTGGAGTAGGGTGAAAGCAGGAAAACACCTGTCTGGTGACGACACTCTGGGGAGCTGCAATGACATCCCCGCAGAGTGGGACTTTCCGCTGCCTCTGCAGGGCATTTCCCCCTTGTTGGGTTTTGAAGGTCACTGTGAAAAGAGGGGCCTTGAAAGAGAAAAATAGTAAAGCTTGTGAGACAGCTTTCGTGGGCAGTGCTCATCAGGACGCTGTCTCTATGGTGACAAAGGTCAACTCCTGAATGCAGGAGGGAAAAACAGTCATCACACACTGCTAGTTGGAGACACCAAGTCACTAGATATTAACAGGAAGGACAAAGACTTTTAAAAATGGTGTGTGGGTGTTCTTGTTCACTCAGAAGCTGAGCAGAGGTCTGCTCACGTCTCACAGAAAAGAATGTGACTTTGCCCACTTTAAAACTCAAGTTCTCAGGCAAAAAAATCACAAGCCCCTCCTCATATGGCTGGTGAGGTTCTGAGAAGATCAAGGTTAGAGAAGCAGCTCTCGAAGAGCTGTCAGTGGTGGGAAGATCAGAGGGCTCCCCTCATTCAATATTTATTCAACCAATACGCAGAATCAAGACTCACACTGGGAGCTGAGTTCAGGAAGCCAGGAAGGTGTCTAAACAGGTCACTGAAATCAAAGCAGGGATGAGAAGTGGCTAGCAGGACTGGGGTGGCCAGAGCCATGGGAGAGAAGACCAGGGGTGGTAGCCCTGCCCAAGCTGGAGCTCTGTGTTCCCCTGGTAACAAATGCAAAGAGGGATGGGGCAGAGATCCAGAAGGAGATAAGAGAAAGGGAAGCCAGCTGGTGCCCACGGTGGAGAATGACTTTCCAAGTCCTTTTTGTAAGGCTGCCAAGAGAGCCAAGGACCCTGGGGGCTTAGAGAATCTCTGAACCCAGGAAAGGCATAGATCCATGCAGAGAACATGGAAACACCCTAGAGATGCTGGAGCGAATGAAGACATGGAGTCCTTCCTCCAAGGCAAAGAGCTTCTGGCCTGCTGCAGTGGTCCATTCCCCACACCACGCCTCTCGTTTCCTCCAGGCCTCCAGCAGGTACAT